TGAGTCCTAACCGGTTTGGCTCAGTGGAAAGAGCATCGACCTGTGGACTGAAGGGTCCCAGGTTCGATTCCGGTCAAGGGCATGTACCTTGGTTGCGGGCACATCCCCAGTAGGGGGCATGCAAGAGGCAGCTGATCCATGTTTCTCTCTCATCGAAGTTTCTAACTCTCTATCCCTCTCCCCTCCTCTCTGTAAAAAATCAATAAAATATATATTAAAAAAAAGAAATGTATACTTGAAATCTATATGATATTATTAACCAATGTCACCCCTATAAATTTAATTTTTAAAAAAGGAAAACTCTTTTAAATATAAATGCAAACTTGAAGAATCAAATTAGATTATGGCAATTTTTAAATATTTACAAAGTAAATTCTACACCTAAATTACACGGACTTAAGATTTTAGTTATCCTACTTTCTAATTGCCTAAAAAGGGGAGAAAAGAGAAGTTACCTGAAGTTGATGAACAAATCCAGCATTAGGATTAATACAAAACCTTCTTTCTTGAACATAAGCAAATGCATCTCTGAAAACATAAAAAGAAAATTAAAGTGATGTTATCAGTTCATGAATTAATCTTAATTGTGATAATTCATCTAAAATAGAAACTTATCTAAATATTTATCTAAAATAGGAAATCATAATCCTATAGCTTGTACTAGAAAGAGGTAGTGAGTGGTAGTGGAAATATCGACAGCGTGGTCAGACTAATCACAATAAAATGGTATCATTGTAAGACCTGTCTTGGGGGGCTATTGAGAAGATGGGAGGTAAGTGCAGAGCACCGTATAGAGCACCTGTCACATCGTACATGCTCACAATGTTATCAGTGGTCAATGAGAAGTATATCTACTTCCACACTGTTATGAGGCATAAATGAGAAAAACGCCTAGGAAACAGTGCCTGGAACATAGTAGAGACCTGATAAAAGGAAGTTACTTTCACTATTCATATTATTACTGACAAGACACCAAATAATAAAGAGGATATATAAAAGTTTCCCAATGCTTGTTCATTTTTCAAATAAAATAAATTATCTGTATTCAAATAATATTCCTTTAAGAACTGATACTTATAAGCAAACTTATCCATTTTAAACACAAAGGATACGAAAAAAACAACACTAAATAAGCACTTGAGGAGTCCAGGGCCTTCACAGGGAAAGCAGTTGGGGGGTGGGAGTGGGGACAAAGAAGACTCAAGGTAGAAAGGGGGGGCTCCAATTCCAACTGTGACCACCACTGCCATCCCGGGGGGTAGCCCGGAACAGCAAAAGGAGGCCAGCAATCATTCCCATAAGGGCAGTATTGCCAGTAAGAAGAAAAAGTGTCCACCTCTAGCTTTGCACAGGGTATCAGCATGGAAGCCATGAGTGAGAAGAAAACGGTGCCTTCTGATTTTAGCATAGGACCTACAGAGAAAACTTGGAAACCTTTGTCATTTAAGGATCCCAACTTTGTGCCCTCTGGCCATGGTGGTGTAGCTGGCAAGAACAGAACTTGGAAGAACTAACAAATTCTCATTTCTGAAAGGGCACTGCCATGGCAACTGAACAATCCCATCTACTTCAGTAGTGATGCTCCCCCATCCTTCAAACCAGCTAAGCATTCTGATGTTTTAGTCCTTCTTGCCAACTACAGTGACCCACAGAGCAATCTGCGGTTCAACACCATGAAAGACTTTCCCTGCATTCACAGGCTGCCATCCTATGTTGTCACTGGCTACCTGGCCCTGAGAAACACCATAAGCATCGTTCCCTAAGCCTTGAGAAATGGAGTTGAAGTGGAAAACTATTTCAAAGTTAGCCTTTGGACTCACAATTTTGCTTCATGGAAACATACTCATTCTGCTGTCAATCTGGAAATGCCAGTGCTATGCCTTGGAAAGAATGTTTGGCTTTAAGGTGTTTTTTTTCCTATATTTTTCCTCCAAGTGTAATATTTCCTGTTGAGTTATATTTTATTTGTTGCCTCAAGTAAAGTCATTTGACAAGAAAACAACAACAAAAAACCCCCAAGCATTTGAATGTTTATTATGTGTCAGGTATGTGGATCCAATGCTGAACATAGCTCAAATAGAGAGTAATGGGGAACATGGTATAAAAATGGAGAGGCTGCCCAGCCAGCATGACTCAGTGGTTGAGTATCAACCTGAGAACCAGGAGGTCATGGTTCAATTCCTGGTCAGGGCAGATGCCCAGATTGTGGGCTCGATCCCCAGTTTGGGGCGTGCAGGAGGCAGCCAATCAATGATTCTGTCTCATAATTGATGTTTCTATCTCTCCTCTCCTTTTTTCTCTGAAATCAATAAAAAAATATATTGAAAAAAAGAAGATGATGGAGAGGTTGATGGGTGCATGTCATGCAAGTTTCATTTGTTAGATTAAGTTATTAAGAATAGAAACCTTTGAAAGCTTTTTGGGGTAAGGTGATTATATGTTTAGATCAGATTTATCTTTTGAAAAGATCATTCCAAGTACAGTGTGAAGAACAAAACAGACTGGAGAAAAGAATACAGGAGACCACTAAGAAGGCTCCTATTGGAGGAATCCAGGAAGATACAACTGAGCTTGGATTGGGGGGATTAAATGATGAAGGAAAGCTATATTGATACTCAATGTATATTTTAGGATATAAAACAGACAAGACTGGTTAATAGATCAGTTTGGGAGATGGGGAATAAAAGAGGGGAAGGTATCAATGATTACAAGATTTCTAACTTGTGCAACCAGACACACTAACAAAGGAAACACTGCACAATGGCCAGGTTTATGTTCTGTTTTGGGCCAAGAGGCTCATGACCTCTCCTCTTTCTTTTCTATCGTTGCATATGCGTGGAAAATATTATTTTGGATAAGAAAGACTACACTGAATTATGAAGAGAAGCTAAAACAATTTTTAGGTAATTTTTCATCCAACTACTGTTAAAGGAAAACATAATAAATTAGCCTTTTAAAGAAGGAAAGCAGTAACATCTGTGTGTGTTTTAAAACTTATACTAACCAATTCCCTAGCAGTAAATAGTCTTCCATGGATGATTCTAACTATAACTATCTTCTTAAAATAATAATAACAGTACCTCCATAAAACAAAACAAAAAATTTAAGTAGATAAGGGAGACAAGCTACAAAGGTTAAGAGACAAAGCAGCTGGTACAAGAGCCTGCCTAATCAAACATGACTAGATAACAAAATCAAAAGAATATTAACTTTAAACTCCCAACTTCTCCATTAAATTAATAATAATTTAAATTGTGGCTCAGTTTCTGAGTACTTTCTTACCTGTACTTCATTCCAAATGTTTCCATAATGTATGCAATAACAAAGGCAGCACTGAAAAGGGGGGGAAAAATTTAGAAAAAACAACAGCAAAAAACAGAAAACACAACTCATTAATTAAATGTTAGAGAGAAAAAAATTATCTCTAACTTCATACCTCCTGGAGATCCCTGCATTTCCATGGACAAGAACTTTCCCTGAAAAAAAGAAATAGTTATTCTGATAGAAAAATACAAAACAAGAAGTAAAGAAAACACAATCTTGCAAACAGTGCATTATATATAATTACAACTTTCATATTCTGAATTTAAGATGAATACTAACTGCCCTAACTGGTTTGGCTCAGTGCATAGAGCGTCAGCCTGCAGGGTCCTGGGTTTGATTTCGGTCAAGGGCACATACCTAGGTTGCAGGCTCCTCCCTGGCCTGGGCCCTAGTAGAGGCTTGTGCAGGAGACAACCAATAGATGTTGTATATTTTAGGATATAAAACAGACAGGATTTCTCTCACATCAATATTTCTGTCTTTCCCTCTCTCTTCCTCTCCCTCTAAAAATCAATGGAAAAATATCCTTGGGTGAGGATTAAAAATAAATAAGTAAATAAATAAATAAATAAAATGAATACTAACTAAAAAATTAACTAAACAAATAATCTAAATATAAACATTAGCTAAGTAAATATTATTTACCTCCAGTTTGTAAGCTCCCATCAATAAATTCTTTAGTCTGAAGGCAAAGACAATGTGTTATAATAAAACATATAGATTAACATAAACATAAAATACATACAGTAAAACAAAATATATTGAAAACAATTTCCTGCTAATTTATATGAATAATAATTACATTAAGTCAAGAATTTTCAGATAATTTCAAATACTATTTGAAGTTTAAAAGTTATATAGGAGCTAAAATTTAATTTAATAATTTCAAAGTGTGATTTCTCAAATTTTAAAAACATATATAACACCACAAATTCAGCCATAACAAAGAAAAAGTTCAGACCATAATTAAGAGGTCAAACTATGAATACATTTTAAGTAATATTAAAATATTGATACCTACCATGGGAAAAAAACGTATTATATTTTCAACTGGATTATCTGCAATATCCAAGACTAAATATCTGAAAATAGAATATTTTGTGATAAGCACACTTTCAGACAAAACTCTCTTTATGTATTAAAAACCTAACTTTGAAAATTTCTAGACAACCATAAAAAGAATGCAAAACAACTTTCAAAGTATCATATTCCCAAGAACTGGACCATAGATTATATATTGCTTGAAGCATACATAACATTATTTTTATATGTGTTGTTTTTTTTTTATTGATTTCAGAGAGGAAGGGAGAGGGAGAGAGAGAGATAGAAGTATCAATGATGAGAGAGAATCACTGATCAGCTGCCTCCTGCAAGCCTCCCACTGTGGATCGAGCCCCCAACCCGGGCATGTTCCCTGACCAGGAATCGAACTGTGACCTCCTGGTTCATAGGTTGACAATCAACCACTGAGCAACGGCAGTTGGGCAGCATACATAACATCTAAAGCCTTAAATAATACATGTGAACATTTCTCTGATATGTTAATATTTTAAAAAATCTATCTGGTTAAAATAGAAAAATCACGAGACCTTCCTCCAGATTAGAGTGGACCTAGAAAATAAAGACAAAAAGTGCCTACATTCATTATTGTTACTCTTCTATTTCTACTTCTCTAGGACTACATGATTCTTCTCTGAATGGTCCTGTAATCCACTCCTCCTTACAACCCTACAGAGAGCACTTCAGAAGAAGCCTAGATTGGGCGCAGGGTGGGGCCAGGCCGGGGCACCCGGAGCCCAACCGGATCCCGCGGCCGCCCGCGCCCCTTCGCGCCCTCCCCCCACCCAAAAAGAAGAAGCCTAAAGTCTGAAAGAGAAGGAGCTAATCAAAATAAAAGGCAGTCTGATGGAGCCAAGAGTAAAAAATTCACTGTTTGAACTAACCTTCAGTAGCGCAAAAAGTCAAGAGACCACCTGTCCTGGAATTTATGCTTTGGAAAACATTTAAAATAACACATTAGTAATATGGTAGGCTTTTTTTTATTTTGTGAAAAACTTCCATTTCTAATTTATCCAACTTAACTTGTTTACTTAACATAACTATAAAGTTATGAAATTAATTTTTAAAGTTAGTATTGTTTTAAAAATTACAGTTCTTTAATGGTAAAACAACAATAAATTCAGGGCATATCAGAGAGAAGTTGAAGCTCAGGATCCAAGGATAATCCAATGTAAAAACCGTAAGGATTCTGACAACAGTATCTTAGAATGACTAGGTAGACCTGTTGTATAAAACATTGCTTCAGGGGAGAAAATGTTAATTCAGAGTTAAACTAAAATATTTTACTATATGCTAATTTCAATGTCAAAAACTACTAGTACCCCTAGCTGTTTTGGCTCAGTGGATAGTGTCAGCCTGTAGACTGAAGGGTCCCAGGTTCGATTCCCATCAAGGGCACATGCCCAGGTTGCGCTTGATCCCCAGTAGGGGGCGTGCAAGAGGCAGCTGATTAATGATTCTCATCATTGATGTTTCTATCTCCCTCTCCCTTCCTCTCTGAAATCAATAAAAATATATTAACATATATATATATATTTTTTAAAAAAACCACTACTAGAACTATCCTATATAATAAAAGCCTAATATGCTAAGTGTCTGACCGTTCATTCAACCATTTGACCTGTCGCTATGACACGCACTGACCACCAAGGAACAGACGCTCCAACGGTAGATTAGCTTGCTGCAGGGGTCCAGCCAATCGGGACTGGATAAAACGGGCCGGACACACCCTGGAGCCCTCCCGCAGTCCCTTCCCAGCCCTGATTGTGCACCAGTGGAGTCCCTTGGCCTGGCCTGTGCCCTTTCGCAATTCAGGACCCCTCGGGGGAGGTCAGAGAGCTACAGGCCAGGCCGAGGGACCCCACCAGTGCACAAATCCGTGCATTGGGTCTCTAGTCAATCTATAAGCCAATACTCAGACTAAGGAGAAAGGGTTCTTCCATTAGTATAAAGAACCTGCTCTGGTTACTAAAAATAAATGTAAAATGATAACATTCATTTTCTTTAATATACATAAGTCTATGTGTGTATATACATAATACACATATACAATAAAGAAATATTTAGAAGGAAATATAACAAAATGTTAACTAAAGTATATCATCTAGGTTGTGGAATTATGAATGAGTTTTTAAATATTTTTTCTTGATATCATTTCAGTTTTTCCAAAGTATCTATAAAGGACAAGTGTTTATTTTACAATTAGAAGTAATTCAATCTATTTTATTGTTAAAACATAGACATTTATTTTTAAAAACTAATTCTTATTCACTGAGAAATGTGTACACACAGTCAAAAGTTCTGTCAGTATAAAAAATATTTGCAATGAAAAATAGATCCCTTTACCATCCTAGACCCTGAATTTCCCTTCTGAAAAGCAATCACTGTCAAGTTTCTAGCCTTAGTCCAGAAATTTTCTATACAGATACAAAAATATATAGGATGTCTCAAAAATGTATATACACTTTAACAGCTGATAATTCACTTAATTTTCACTCCTTTTCAGGTTTACCTGATTTGAAATAATAGGTGAAGCCAGACTAAGCTTTGAACAAAGAAAATTTATCCTAAAGTACTACTAGACTGTTTTTATGGGAATACAGACAGGATAAAGTTTATGTTACAAAATCGGCAATAGCTGACAAATTGAAGGCACACAAATTCCGAATGAAATTCCAATTCTTTGATGTTTGTGATTCCACTGGTTCGTGTTATCAGCAGTGCCTGGACCAGAACAGTCCAGTTTGAAAACAGGCATTGACAAAAAATTATTCATTTCTGTAGAAGCTTTTAAATTTTGAAAATGAACTGTATGTTAATAAACACTGACGTTATGCTGGGCCAGCGTGGCTCGGTGGTTGAGCTTTGACCTATGAACCAGAAGATCACGGGTTTGATTCCCAGTGAGAGCATATGCCTGTGTTGTGAGCTCGATCCCCAGTGTGGGGCATGCAGGAGGCAGCTGATCAATGATTTCTTTCTCATCATTGATGTTTCGATCTTTCTCCCGCTCTCCCTTTTCTCTGAAAAAAAAAATAAATAAATAAACACTGACTTTATAACCATTCAAAGTGCATATACATTTTTTGGGACACCCATTATATGCCTAATGCCTTGTATACATTTTTAAACACACTGAGAGTGTACATGGTTCTATACCTTGGTTTTTCTTTTTTTAATTTTTTTTATCAATTTCAGAAGAAAAGAAGAGGGAAAGAGAGATAGAAACATCAATGATGAGAATCACGGATCGGCTGTCTCATGCATGCACCACACTGGGGATCAAGCTGCAACCCGGGCATGTGCCCTAACTGAGAATCGAACTGTGACCTCCTGGTTCATAGGTCGACGCTCAACCACTGAGCAATGCCGCCAGGCTGATTTTTCTCTTAATAAATCTTAGAGATTATTCCATATCAATATATACATAAATATTTTAATATTTTAAAATTTATTTTTATTGTTGAGAGTATTACAAATGTCCCCTAGTTACTCCCCCCTGTGCTCCCCTCCACCCTGCTCCCAACCGACCCTAGACCTTCACCTCACTATTGTCTGTGTCTGAGGGTTATGCATATATTCATATCAGTTCTTTGGTTCATCTCTTCCTGTTGCCCCTCCCCACTTCCCTTTGAAATCTGTCAGTCTGTTCCATGCTTCCATGCCTGTGGTCCTATTTTGTCAGTTTATTTTGTTCATTAGATCCTACATATAAGTGAGATCATGTGATGTCTGTCTTTCTCTGACTGGCTTATTTCACGTAGCATAATAACAGAAAAATTTCATTCTTTTTCATGGTTACAGTATTCTATTGTATGTTCACACAATATATTTTACAAAGTCTTATACTAATGGATATTCAGGTTGCTTTCATTTTTATAAATAATAAAGCAGAGCATTAAAATGTTTTTAACATATATGCTTTTATATAGACACAGAATATCTCTAGAATGATATTCAAGGAAGAGTTTTAATAGTAGCTGCCTCCCGGAGAGAAGTTAGGTATCTGGGTTTAGAGGAGGAAAGAGACTTACTTTCATTATATACCATTGTTGTACTGCTTGTAGTATACTCAATTTTAAAAATAAAGTTAAAATAAAGAAATTATAGATTATTAGATGCTCAACAGCACTCACTGTAAGATAAATAAGATAGGCAAATTAAAATTACATGAAACACCATTTTAATCCAGGAGATCTGGAAAAATTTTTAATGCTTTATAATTCTGTTTAAGAGAGATCCAAAAAGAGTTATTCTCATATACTTCATAGTGGAAATGCAGACGGATCCAACTCACTGGAGGGCAATTTGCAGCACCTATTAAAATTTTAAATGCTCATATCTAGCAATTCCACTTCTACAAATTTACTGATATACTTACATATGAATTAAATGACATGTACAGGGAAACTGACTATATGCTATATTAGCAAGTCTAGAAACAATCTAAATGTCCAACAATAGGAGACAGTTGAATAAATTTTAGTGTAGTCATACAATAGATTACTGTACAACTTAAAAAGAATAATGCAGGTCCTAGCTGGTTTGGTTCAATGGATAGAGCTTCGGCCTGCAGACTGAAGGGTCCAAGGTTCGATTCTGGTCAAGGGCACATGCCAGGGTTGTGGTCCGATCCTCAGTAGGGGGCATGCAGGAGGTGGCCTATCAATGATTCTCTCTCATCTTTGATATTTCTATCTCTCTCTGCCTCTCTATTCCTTTCTGAAATCAATACAAATATTTTTTTTAAAAAAGAATAATGCAGCTCTAAGTAATGATATGCAGCAACTTCCAAAAAATATACAATTTTTAAAAAGCCAGAGTAAAAAAATAGTTTACCTTAGGAATTTGCTTATATATGTAACATTACTCTGGAAGGATACTCAAAAAGAAGTAACAATTGGATGTCTTTATGAAGGGAATTTAGTCTTTAGGGGATAGGAATAGGGAAACCTACTTTTCATATATATTATTTCAAACCTTTAGAATTCTGAGTTATGTTCATGAATTACTTATTTAAAATATTTTAAAGGACATCTATTTTTAAAATGATGTGCTGTACAACCCAGCTCTATGTACAGAAGAAAGTCTGATATAATAAAATCAACTTGAATTAAAAACCAGATTACATGTTTGCTACATGTAACATTTTAATAAATAAGAGCAATAATCTTACCTAAATAATTGTTGAAAGTTTGGTTTAATAAAGTTTGCTTCAATATTTTGTCTTATGCATATGATATGGGTTACTCCATGTTTCTGTAGTATAGGTAGCTATAAAAAAAGAAGAGGCAGGGGAGAGAAACAGTTTAAAATACAAACATCATCCTACTGTAACACAGATGTTTGAAAATACACAATTCAACATTAGAATTAATACAGACACATCTGAACTTTAAATAAAGGGGATTAAAGCTAATTTTAAGATAATATAACTGCTGTGGCCAGTTGTTCATTAGTAGAGCATCGGTCTGTGGACCAAAGGGTTGCAGGTTTGATTCCCAGTCAAGGCCATGTACTTTGGTTGCAGGTTCCCCACCCCCAGTAGGGTCATGTGTGGAAGGCAACCAATCGATATGTCTCTCTTCACAATGATGTTTCTTTCTCTTTCTATCTCTCTCACCCTGTCCTCCCTCCCTCCACTCTCTTTAGAAATCAATAGAAAAAATAATATAACTGAAATGATCAGCAAGAGATTTCAATGATTCAAGATTAATACATTAAATATCCTCAAAAGACTAATAGGACTATTTTACAATTATAATTTTAGAGCTCGATGGGAGCTTAAAGATAATTTATTTGGAAAACAATACTATACAGTTGCTGAAAGCATGGACTTTGGAGTCACAAGAGCCCAAACTTTATATCCAGCCTTGCAGTTCAATTTTCTCATGTGAAAATGGGGAAAACAATACCTAATCACTAAGTGGTTATAAGAAGTAGATAATACATGTGGTATTTGGCAGAGTGGCTTCAGCACATGTCAAGTGTTTATTAAATAGTAGTTACATAAATTGACTATGATATGTTTTTCTTTAGAGGGAATTAAGACATAAATAGTTGTTCAACATCACTGACTTAATAATATAGTACCAGAGTCAAAATCTCTAGATTACTCCTGGCCCTCTCCCAGTATACTTTTTGTACTAGAAGCCAGAATTAATACAATTCATAGAATCTAATGAAAGCTTTCAGGGTTTTAAAGTTCTACTAAAGTTGAAAATAGGCAACTCCAAATGTTATCTTCTTATATTCTGTGGTGCTTTTTTGGCTTGTATTATAGAGCAATTTAATACAACAACTCTAGGAAATATCAAATTTTTATTTGCAAGCCATTAGGGTTTTCTGTGAATTTATAGATGATGTTATTTTAATACCTAAAATGTAAATTCTATGAGAGCAAGAACTTTGTTCAATGATTCATATTAAGTATGTGTAACGGTGCCTCAAACATAGTAGTGGTTCAATAATAATGTTTAATAAATAAACAGTTCATGTAGACATGAGGAATCAGAATAATCTTGAGTTTTCCTAATTTTAATGCTATAATCCTATATATTTAATTCCCACTTTCTACATTAAATACTCCAGAACAGTAATACTAATAATTTATGAGAGAAGTCAAAGGATAATTTATATTTGCTATGGACTGAATGTACCCTCCTAAAACTCATGTTGAAGCCCTAACTTCCAAGGTGATGGTATTAGGAGGTATATCTCTGGAAAGTAATCAGATAGACACCTCTCAAGGTTGTTGGCTTAGATGAGGTCATGATAGTGGAGCCTCTATGATGGAATTAGTCCTCTTATAAGAGGAAGAGACATTAGTTTCCTCTCTGTCATGTGAAGATACAACTAGAAGGCAGCCTTTGGCAAGCTAGGAAGAGGGAACTCACCAAAACCTAATCTTGTTGGCACCCTGATCTCAGACTTCCCATCCTCCAGAACTGTGAGAAATAAATGTCTGTTGTTGAAACCACCCAGTCTTTTATTATAGGCACCAAGTATTTTATTATAGCAGCCTGAGCTAATTAAGAAAACAAGGTTTTCAAAAGTTTTAAATATTAATTTTTGCAGCAAATTTTCCTATGTCTAACAGAGATTAGAGAGTTAAATTATCGTTGTATTTCTAAGTATATCTTGAATAAGAAGGGAGGTAAGCATTTTGTAGGATTAATAATTAATGTTGCATATTCACATTTATCCAACCTACAAAATGATTTCAACATTCATTCCTTTGTTCACATTTGATCTATGATAATCTGAAGAAGATTTCATATCTATTAATGTGAGGAACTAGAAGACAACATATATAATTGTGGACCAAAACAATTTGAAGGCATGTTAGGTTATTAATAAGTAAAAACAAGCCTGATTATCAAAACAGAATCCAAATGCAATAGCAAAGAGAGTACTTTTTACTATTCAATAGATTTGATTATATAAAACAAATTATGACGTTTTCATACTTACAAACAACAGAGAAGTTTTACAAAAGAAATAGTTTAATAGTTACAAAGGCCTTAGTTTGCCCTTTTTATTAAAACTGTATTTGAATGTACTAAAGGATAGGCTTAAATAATGAGTCCTAGGAAAGGAGTTTATTCCCTAAAGTTTCTCTATCTCCTTATAATCTTTTATTTTGTTGTTATATATTTTGGAATGATGGTTATGAAAAGAAATATTGGTGACTCAGGTGAAAAATAATCAAATTTGCCATATAAGTTTTTGAAGAGATAGATCTATATACAAATATTTATTATTTAATATGGCAGATAGTAG